TTTTTTATAACTATAATGATCATATGAAGGTGTGCCGCGGAAATAATCTTTTGAATAATTTTTGACCAAACCGTTTTGAGACCCCACTGAGATAACTTAACTAAAGTTAATATTCTAAACACTCAGAAAGAGTTCTTTAGCTCACCTGAGCCTCTCAGTCCTGAGAGAGGAGAGCTCTCCTCCAGCTTGTTGTGGAACAAACAGCTCCGTATGTCCGTTAGTGCAGCTTTGATAACCAGATGCTAACAACACGGTCCCTGCTGCTGGCACCGGTCCCTCTCTCTCTCCCCCTCTCTTCACACACACTACAATGCGCATATTTCCACACACACACAGGGCCGCGAGCTTGAATGACACAAGCACACTTTTATTTCCATCCAACTCTCTGATTGGTCTGGTGCCTTTTGCCTCTGTTGCCATTCACTGACAACACGGGAAAAATTAACAGTCCTGCCGTCCTTTCTAGTGGTCTTGATGAGGGTTCACGTAAAGCACGGTTAATGTATTATATTATTGAGGTAGAATTGTCCGGGGCTACAGAAAAAAAATTCAGGGCAGGCCAAAATATCATTTTACCAACAATGTGGAATTTATTGGCTACATATTACACAGATTATGCACAGCGGGAGCAGCAATAACCGTCAAATAATAATTTAGACAGGGGAGCTCCGCACCCCCTGCCTGCCGCTAGGGGGTGCTGCAGCGCCCTCAGCACCCCGCTTCCCGCGCCCATGGACTGAGCCCCGGAGCGGACCGCCAGCTGCGCGCTCTCGCGCGTCCTCTACTCGCTCCCGTGAGTCCACTACATTCTGCAGCGGCACAAAGCGGTGTTTCAAAACAATAACCACAGGAAGATTAGAGGGAAAGTGACAGGCAGTATGAGAAGGAAAGCGAGAGAAAGTATCAGCCGCACGGACGTGACTGCTGCAGTGTGATGCACATAGGAATACATATGGGGGTTATTCCCTATCTTTATTCAAGAGCGTGGTCTTTAAATTTGAGAGCATACTTTATTGATTTCACGTTCAGAATATGTATTTATTTCCCTCAAACCCTGTCCTCACACTCAAATAGTGCCTGCTTGCGCTTAGATTTGCTCGGCTTCTGCTCAAACTGTACGCTTGCACTCAGATATATTGCTGCGCTTACAGGTTTCCTGTGTTCCAGTTTAAAACCTTCTCCTTGCACTCAGGCTGTTTCTGTGCGCTCGTGAAATGTCTGCTCTCAGATTTCTTCTGTGCGCGCTTGGGTCTTTCGTGCAACAACCCTGTCAAAATCCCTCCGTGGGGATTCCCCACAGTATTGAGTATGTAGTCGCTTTAGATAAAAGCGTCTAACAAACATGTAATGTAATGCGCTATAAATGCGGTTGCCAGGTCCACATTGGGTAGGCTATACAGCGTACGCCGGCTGGTATTAAAAATCACCCAATAACCCAGCAATGTTACGGATAATATCTTCTCTGTTATTTTCAGGCATTCAAAGGGAACAGAGGGGCACTGAGAGCATCATATCAAGTCAGCCTCCACACAAAAAAAGTTAACCAGTTGCCAAGTGTTGGAGTTTCTTTGTCTCTCAGAGTGTTTTAAAACAGCTCTGTTCATTTAAAAGTGTTTAAAAAATGTGTGTACATAGTTTTTGATCTAGTGACAAACTTAATGTTGCACTTCTGATAATCTAAATGTGGTTTCACCTGTGATGTACTGTATACTGCACTTCCTATAGTTAGTGTTTTGTCCCTTTCTGTTTACAACATGTTTGTTCTTTGTTCATTTAAAATAGTTTAAAATGGTGTTTACATAGTTTTTGAGCTAGTGACAAACTTAATATTAAACTTTTGATAATTGTATAATTTATATTTGATTTGTACTGTATATACTTGACTGCACGTCCCATGTTTCGTCTTTCTGCTTTGATCCTTATTTTTTCTGGGCAAGCTCAAAGGGAAGGTTGTTATGGTGAGAAACCTAATTGCTGCGATGCACTTTTATAATTAAATAAATATTTTCATTTACATTTTAAATTCATGGTGTGTTGCATTCCTTGTTTATAACTGTAGATATTATGGAAAATCATGACATTTTTTGAGCTTGGGTCCCTTAGGACCACAACATTTCTGTTTTGGGTCTCATGCTGAAAAAGTTTGGGAACCCCTGCTCTAGTTCATTTGGAGACACACTAATATCCTTTTGTTCTGGTTCTGTGTCCACAATAGCTTATTACTAACGAATGCAGAGAAATTATTCATACGGACTGACAGCTGACCTAATGACAGGTTTGATGATGTCATCCTGCATCATCTGCTTTACAAGGACATCAACTGCTTGACAGTCATGAAGTGTATTACTGGAACAATAGGATGAACAGAAACATGTTCTTTTAAGAGTTATGAGTAAAGACGGGAGCTGGACATCGTAAACATGAACACACTGTTAGAAGTTGGCATTTTGTGCATTAGGAGAATATAGTTACTATAAAGAGTAACCACTTTAGTTAACTAGACACAATCTCAACACACGCACATGCTGATATGAATAAGTGTAACCATGGTGACCAAATAATCTTATAAATATAGGCTTTATGTTGCTACCACAGATCGGCAGATTATTATTATTGATTTTTTTAACTGCAGACAATTTAATAACAGTTCACTTATTGAATTCAGTAACAATGAAATGATCTATCCCAGTTGCAACCTGTTGTATATCTAATCACATGTTAGTACTGCTCAAGCATATACTGTATACATAAGTGAGCTGAGTGTGAAGAAAATAGCTTCTAATGACTCTGAAACAATGAAAGTGACTGCCAGAGTACTACATACTGTCAACAGCTTGTTAGCAGTTTATAAATGACTGAACTTGTTCACCTGAAGAAAAACAGATTGTGCCATTCATTTGAAGACGTTTCAGTTTGTGCCTTAAATAACTATTCCAGGGTTTTGTCTATAGTGTAGCTCTCTCCTTCTCTTGTCGACTCCTTTCCTTACTTTATGTTCCGTGTCTTATTCAGACAATATCACTCTGGTTGTGGTTAGGGTTGGTTTGCAGCAGAGTCTCTCTTACATGGACAGACTAGCATGCAGAGCAGTTCATCATGTATGATAGGACAGGTCTAAAGGTTTCAACACTCTTCATGTGTGTCCATGAATACTCACTGGCGCCCCTGATGCCTGGATGTTTCTGACCCTGGGCCCATAGGTCCTGGTACTTCTGGCTGAAGGCAGGTCTCCAGCCTCCAGAGGTCCAGGGGGAGTCTGGGGCTGCCATCCTGTAGAGGAAGCAGGAGGAGGATAGGATTCCAACGTTTCATCATTATTTATAACGTTCTAGTCAAATTAGTTATGAGTAGTCTTCCAATCTGAACTGAAACTATTAGGATAACTGTTTTACTGTACTTTGATCATAAAGCAGATTTATTTCAGGATTTGATATGTATTGTAATGATTCCATTCTGATTCCATTTTGCAAATGTATACTCCCCAACCTCTACGATGTTTCCTCTGTACCTGTGTTTTATGATGAGATCTTCACCGGCCAGCCTGTGCAAACCTAAGAAGAAGAAGAAAAAAAAAACATAAACATACAGAATGAGAGGTCATTGAAAGTGCATTAGTTTAAGTATGTTCAGCAAAGGGTTGTGCTCATTTGAAGTCCTTTATATACTGTTGGGTAATTTAATATACAGCAATGCATCAACTTCTATAGGGTCATCATAGTGTTGAAGCTCTGTCCTGTAAGAGTCACCTATCTGTCAGAAGTCTCATACTGTAAAAACATCGTTGTTTCATCTTTGCGTCAATTCATTTTCCAGCTGATCCAAGGGGCTTCATTTAGAGTAACACATGAAGGAAACCCTCATCCTTCAGCCTCTCAAAATCACCACATTTGGAGACACATCGTTTTAACCGGGAAGAGCGCTGATGAGAAACTGTCATCTGAAAGTTGTGTGAACACACCTTTGAACCGGCCGTGTCCTGGGATCAGCTGCCCTGTCTTGCTGTGGCGTTTGAAGAGGTACACAGCTGCAACCATCAGGAGGAACCACAGGAGGGCGCCGACGCTGCCGATCAACACAGGGTCCTGGAGCAGGGCCAGGACCTCAGAAAGCTCCCCTCTGTCGCTGTCTGACCCAGGGGGGGCCCCTATCTGTGGGTCTGAGACAAACAGGAGCAGAATAATCAGATCTGAGGTCATGATAACTTCTCCTCTGTAATGTGCTTACACTGCACACTGTAGACACACAGTGAACAAAACGGAACCGTTGACTTTAATTCAATGTATTTTGTCACACATCAATGTGTGAAAATGGAAAATGTATTAAGTTAGGTAGGGACCTAATATCCTTTATTTAAACGTAATATTATTGCTTTCAACTAACCTAATATATGTATGTGAAATCTGTTGACATAATACATTTAAGTAATGTCAACATTTCAGGTTTTTCAGTGCAGACTTTATCTCAAATTGTCCTTCATAAATGAACAGATAGATATTCCTTTCACTCACTGATGACAAACCCATGAGGGTCGCTCAGCATTCCTACTCCAGCTCCGTTGACCGCTGCTATGGTGATCCAATACCGTCTCCCTGGTTTGAGAGTGGAGATTTCAAGAGTGTGGTGACCACTGTCCACCGTCCAGTTTTGGTTCTGCTGCTCCTCAGACTCCACACACCACACCTGGAAAACAGTTTGCATCATTAGAGTAGCACGTTGGTATATTGAAGGGGATTATTATCTTTCCTTGATAATAATATAGTGTATGTGTACCTGGTACCCCTGGATGATCCCGTTGTGTGTTTCATGAGGAGGTGGCTCCCAGCTCACATGGATGGTGTTGTTCTGCTCATGGCTCACTGTGATGGACACAGACACTGGAGAGGCCCCGGGCACTGCATACAGAGGAGACGAGTCCACTGTTATCTTCCAAACGCTGGACTGGGTATTTAAGTTCAACACCTTTAACCCTCCTGTCGAGTTCGATTCCCCCCCTTTCTTTGGTGTTCCTGGTCAAATTTGACCGGTCTGTTTTAACCGCTCTTACATTAAAACAAAAACCATTAATCATTTAACACCCCTTTAATTTGTAAACAGACTACTGGTTTGTAGGAGCCAATTAACACTGGGTATAAAAGTAGGAACCTATGTTTGTGGTTAGAGGTTCCGCCGGAAGTCCATACAATTTTTGGCCACACACGGAGAACGCACACAAACACGGGATTACAAACATTTGCAAAAGGTATTGTGTGAACCGTAATATCGTGTATGGTGAATGAGAAAATGAAGCAAGTTAAATGGAGACCAGTGGACAGGAAATAAATGGAATGTATTTAACTGGAAACTTTGTATCAAACTTGTATTCACCTATCAAACTTTGTGTGCGTCATTTACGCCAACATAGCAGATCCTCAGAGGCTTAAAGTGTTGGCTTAGCCTCTACATGAGTAACTGCAGTGATTATACAAAGAAGAGACACTGAAAATGTATTCTAAAATAAAAATGTTCTTGGATGTGTACTTTCTGATGGATGAACATTCTAGGGTCACCCATTCTATTTCTGACCGGGAAGATATCTCAAGATTAAATGAGAGTGCTGATCAGCAATTTTATATTTTCCAATGTCTACTGTGAAGGATATCATGAGGCAATGGAATGTAAAACTAAATGTTTATGATTGATGAAAGTAGCAGATCTGTCACATTTGACCCGAACACAACAGGAGGGTAAAAAGCATTATAAAGGACACAGGTATTCTGAAATCCGTTAATTTCCTACCTGTCTCAGGGACTCTGAGGTGCCGCGTGTTGCTCTCCCTCCCGTACAAGCTGCTGCCGTAGGGACGCACTTTGAACTCGTACTTGTAGCCTCTCTTTAAGGGCCCCACCTGGGCCTGGAAGCTGGGCACGGTCACTTTGTTTGCCGCCCAGTCGGAGCTGGCAGGCAGCAGAGAGCGGTACAGAACCTCAAAGCCGTCCAGGTAATGAGGCTGGGCGGGGAGGGACTGCAGCTGCTCAGAAAACACAACATGGATCATAAACCTGAAATATTCACGCTCTCTCTGAAATTCTTTGAGTTAGCTGGCCCCTACCTTCCACTGCACTTGTGATATGTTAGAGCCAGGGGTCACAATACTGACGTTCTCCAGGGCCACTCGCAGGGCCGACAGCTCTTTGTGCAGGTCTCTCTGTGTAGTGCTGCTAGCATCTGGAAACACAGGTTTATTTATTGGTATTTTGTTATTATTTAAAAGAATGGATACACAGGTCAGGACTTGTATTACTCATTGCATTTGAAAGCAGAGTTGATGGTTAGTATCTCTGTAGTTGGTAACTAATGGGTCGCAACATATTAACATTTTATTAGTTTTGTCCTCAGGTTGATTCTAAATAAGGCATAATGCATACAAAATACTCATACACATAATCTGCAAGGAAAAAGTGTCGGTTTATATTCCAGCTTGGTGTCAGTGGTACATGTGCAGTATGAAACTGTTGTAGGGATTTTCCATACAACTGAATGAAGGCTGTGTATATTATTTGTATAATGCACACAGATTTCAGTAGATTTGTGTAACTTTTATGCAGGTTATGTGGATCATCTTTCAGTCAAACGTACTAAAACTTCGTTAGTTTATATGGCTCCTTTATTTAATAATAAGAATACAAATATAACCAGCTGTTACTGCAAGACTGCATTCTTAGAGGGTCCCATACAAGCTGGGGCTCTTCTGTTAAAATGATTTAACCTATTAAGGTGCTCTGTATACAGATCTTCTTGTATCTGTTAGAAACTAACATTAGCCTGAATCTTGCCAGAGGAATGGCTGAGGTGTGTTTCTACTCCTAATGCCTTATTAACTACAAGCAGTTTGTTGCACCTGTAGAGATGTAGGTGTAGCTCAAATAAGAGACCCCAGTCTATCTGTATCTTCCGGTATGTGGACAAATGAAGCTCAGCACTCACACTCCTTGGGTCAGCTGGCAAACTGATAACAGAGTGTATTTCTCATCATTTACCTTCAACCAGTAGCTGTGCGCTGGCACTGACCACCCCCACATCATTGACAGCAGTGCAGGTGTACTTCCCAGCATCCTCAGCTATCACATAGTGGATCTGCAGAGTCTGGTCTGGGTTTATAAGATACCTGCACACACAAGAAGAGCAATTATCTTACTGCCATCTCTTTAACAATAACTTACATTTAGATTTTTGCAGATGATTTAGGTAATTTCATGTATCTAACAATCAGAGGGTCAGAGGTTCAATCCCACCCACTGCAGTCAACAAGTGTCAAAGCGTCCTTGGGCAACATACTTAACCCCAAAATTGCTCCGGTATTGATGTGTATGTAAATTGCTTTGGATAAAAGCATCAGCTAAATAACTTGTCATAATATAACAACATGAAATAGCACGATTGTGAAGGACATTTTGAAGAATCTGCTACCAAATCTTTGAGCAATTATTAGGCCACTTCTTCCAGCTAAAGGAAGGTTATCAAATCTTTATTAGTGCTAGAGGTCAGCTCTGCGTAACAATAAAACAATAATTTATTAGAACATATTGATCAGGTGTAGAGTTGGCTCTATGAATGGAGTGTGTATGTCTGGGTACCTTCCGTTGGGCAGTGACCCCTGCTCTCTGCTCCAGGCCACAGAAGGGGGGGGGTCCCCCTTAGCCCTGCAGTAGAACTGTGCAGACTGGCCCGTCCTCACTGACACGTCTCCAGGCCTCAGCACCAACACAGGCTTGGCTGCATTGGAGAAGAAAAGAGGAGATAAATCATACTGTACTGTATAGAGTGGTGCAGGGATGAGTCCAAAACAACAAGTCACTTCCTGTTTCCTTGTCTTAAAATCAATTGTTTTATTGAATTAGTTTATGGTTAGATGCCTACAATAAGACCTGTGGTTAAGACAAGCTAATTACATTTTCAGGTTTTGTTCTATGACATAAAATACGTACAGAATTAGGCGGCGCCAGCTTCTATGTTTAAAAAAATGCAGCATGACTAATAGAGACTACTAAATGTCCACATGCCCAACTTTAACCGCCTTAGGCTTAGCGGTGTTTAATGTTAGACTTTTAATACTGGCGATTGCATCAACTTTCATATAGCTGTATTAATATGTGGAGATTATCCTGCTTATCAAAACTTGTAAGTATAAAAAACGTGTGTTTACTAAGAGGAGTTAAAAAATCCCATTGCTTTTAGTCTAGGAGAGGTTGCAATGCTAACTTCTGGGTTGGCCTACAAAGCTACGTCATCCCTGCACCATCCCACACTGCACATGAATAACAGTTATGAGCATGTTGTCTCACCCAGCACAGAGAGCCGGGCCGCCCTGCTCTCCCTCACCCCCGCAGTGTTTCTGGCCACACACACATAAGCTCCAGAGTGGTTCCTCTCTGCAGGAGCGATGATCAGCTTCCCACTCAGCTCCTACAGCAGGGCAGACAGGAGGCACACAATATCACACACTGCACTTCACACAAGAAGTCTGGCTCTCAGCACATAATATAAGACAGGATTTCAGAACAGAAACTGTAAATGATCATCTGTTGCACATTTTTGTTTTGAGTCATCCCTTTACCATGTTCTCCTGCTGACTCATGTCAACTAAACTAGGGACACTTTGTCAAAAGAGTGATGTGTAAAAAATAGTTATAATATTACCAAATTAATTTTACTTAGGTTTTAGTCATGTTTCCAACTTTTAAGTGTGACATTCAATGTGTTATTTCAACATAGTAAGAAGTAACCAAATAATAAATTATTTAAAGCTGCGAGGAGCGGGTTTTCGACGATCCGCACAGGTCCGCTGTTGTCCCCACGTCAATGTCCCGCAGATGTTTTCCGGACTCGGCAGTTAGCAAATGTTGGAAGTTTCAGGCCGATCGGACAATATACATGGGAGGTACAGCAGTAACATAAACAATGTGTTTGATGGCGAGTGATCTGTCGCCATGGCAACGGCATATGATGACACCCCATAATACGCTTAGATGTCAAGACATCTAAGCGTATTATGGGGTGTCATCATATGCCGTTGCCATGGCGACAGATCACTCGCCATCAAACACATTGTTTATGTTACTGCTGTACCTCCCATGNCCTATACGAAGATCAAAACCACCTGCAAATATTCATTTCACAAAGTGAAGTGAATGTATAATCACTGAGAACATATAGCATGACAACAATATCTACACACCATCATCAGCAAACACGGGTAAAGAAAACAAATATATTTCAAACCTGACATGATTTCATATTTAGTTTTCACTTGCACCTTGTAACGCCGCTCGGTTTGAAACACACAACCCCGACACCAAACAGATACACCATAATTTACCACTTTAAAAATATAATCTGCAGACCACAGAGAAATTTGGCGCGGCAACATCCTCTGCAACAGACAAAGTCTCTGGCCCGCACTCACCACACACCAGCAGTGAACTGCTCAGGTGGCAGATCAGAGAAAAACGCTGGTCAATTGTTTGCATGCTGGTCAAACTGGGTATTCTTGGAGGTATTCCTCTATAGTGTGTGCATTAACTGCTGTAGATCTGTTTTGCGCAGTTTGGCAGTCTGTGCAATTTTAATATCATTTCCTTCGTTACTAGTAGCTAGAGACTAAGATTCATGAGAGAGCTCTATGCAGTCCAATGGGTACGCTGCCCGTTGAAACCTTTTGACTTCCAAGGGGTACCCACCCTGTACGTAGAGTGACGGGAAGGGGCCCTGACCATCCGTCAATATGTGGCGCATTGGGAGTGAGAACGTGTTGCTCTCACTCTGACATCTGGAAACGGAAAAGCAAGTGTTTTGCTTATGGATTATCAGAAATCATTTCAAAGGGACACAGACACATTGGATGAACCAATGGATTAACCTTCAGCAGCGTTTTTATCATTTTAATGCCATTGAAGACAACTTTTGAACAGACAACGACCAAGTTAAGCCATTTTGCCGTTTTTAGCTACCAAGCGCCATATGTTTTGATGTCTGTTCTTGTTAATATCTTCGCGAGATCTTATCATAGAGTGATGATGTATGTACCTATCGATTCTGTGTCATCTCACGATCAGATCGATGGGTTGAACGTGCAGCTACGATAAGTAATAAGGGTGTTATGAGCAGTGTTGGGACTAACGCGTTACAAAGTAACGCGTTACTGTAACGCAACTAGCAATTCGCGGCGCCTCCTTGAAGACACCTCGGGCTGACAGGGACCAACAGAAAAGGAAGCCGAGGCCGCAAACGCCCCCACCGGGCCCGACTTGCGCATCGGGTTGACCCCTTGCGGCGACAATCGAATTAAGGCGGTTCTGACGTCTCGACTACATTATATATGGACGCTCGACGCTGCTTCGGGACGACGGACGAACGCGCCAACTGTGGACCCTCTGTCAGAGACTACCTTTTCCACTCTCGTAATATCTCCCTAATTGTCCACCTTATTAATCCCCGACACCTTACCCCTCCCTTCACTATCCCAATCGAACTCTCACCCGCGGGAAGGGGTAGTAAAATCCGACTTTGCCCTCGCTCAACGGGTACTGCACGTTAAATGCTTCACTATCCAGAAGAGACGGACTTGAACGCGACTCGAAGTAATCAATG